AACCTGGGCGGGTGGGGGAGGAGGGGGAGGGTGGGGCAGGGTCACTGAATATTTAAAAGTTAGAATGCCACGTGTCCAGGCTAGTTCAGGCCTGTATTAGGATGGCCAGCCAGAGTGAAGTAATAATAACGTGGCCTTTTAGAAACCAAAGGAGGTTTGTCTAAAACCCATCTTCTCTAAAAGATGCCCCGACCAAACCAGGGCTGTGGAGTGCCAGCTTTCCAGGCAGGGGGTGCGCGTGTGGGCCAATGCGGGCCCTCGGAAGCAACAGCACCCAGAGCTGGTGAAGGACACCTCCTCCCAGCTCCAGCGTCCTGTGTGGAGGGAGCAGCAGGTGAGCCGGGAGAACCACCCCTCCCTCAGGGCTCCACCCCGCACCGGCCTCTGTGGTCTGTCTCCGGTTCTGCACGTGACCTTCTGGCTGTTCTGCTTTGATTTACTCTCACTTATAAAAAGGATGTTATAAGAAACACCAGCTCTAACCATGAAAAAAATGATTTCTCCTAGGAGTTTTATAAAAATCAAACTTCATTCTTTTTTAAAAATCCTCACAGGAGGATATTTCTTCCATTGATTTTTAGAGAGAGTGGACAGGAGGGAGGGAGGGAGGAAGGGAGAAAGGGGGGATATAACCTACAACTCAGGTATGTGCCCTTGACTGGGAATCAAACCTGAGATCCTTTGGGCACAGGCTGGCACTCCAACTACTGAACCCCACCACCAGCCAGGGCGAACTTTACTGTGAATCAAGAAAAGATAACTCCTGGACAGCCTTCTCTTATTATCCCCGCCCCCCCCCAATTTTCTAAAAATAAAGACATTGCACAAGTCTGGAGTTTTACATGAAGCAACTACTTCGAATGTACCCTTTAAGATACAGTAGTCATCACAATTATTTTTGGAAAGCTGAGTAGGTCAAGAATACCTAAAATAACCTGGTTTCTATTTAAAACGCCCGACTGCTTTGCCATTTAGTAGGAGAGAAAGATTACTTGAAAGAATTATTCAAAATGCAGACGTTGCTAACGTGTGTATCTCACAGGAGCTGGCGGTGACGACCCCAAAGCACAAAGAAATAGACTTCCTTCCACAGGAATGTGAACACAGCCGAGTCCTGGAGGAACAGCTCACACCCGTGGGAGACAGGCCCCTCCTGACTCCAGGAAAGCATGGGAACTGTCAATCACCTGTCAAATCCAAATGAAATAAGAAAGTCCATTTTAAAGGGACATTACAGCCCGGCTGGTGTGGCTCCGTGGTTGGGCATCTGTATCTATGAACCAGGAGGTCAGGGTTTGATTCCTGGTCAGGGCACATGCCTGGGTTGCCGGACTCGATCCCCAGTGTAGGGTGTGCAGGTGGAGTCGATCAATGATTCTAATCATTGATGTTTCTACCTCTCTCTCCCTTCCTCTCTGAAGTCAATAAAAAAAAATAAAAATAAAAGAAAGGGACATTACAGGCCACAATCTCAAATGTTCTAACCCAGCGGTTCTGTATTTAAAGGTTCTGGCCCTTTAAATACAGTTCCTCGTGTTGTGACCCAACCATAAAATTATTTTCGTTGCTGCTTCATAACTGTAATGTTGCTACTGTTATGAATCGCAATGTAAATATGTGATATGCAGGATGGTCTTAGGCGACCCCTGTGAAAGGTTCTTTCGACCCCCAAAGGGGTCTCGACCCACAGGTTGAGAACCGCTGTAAATCTAACCGAAGGAATTCCACAGACAAGAGGAATTTAATTCCGCTTCGGAGGGTGGCCACGAGGAAAAGTCATTCTGGCAAAAGGTGAGCCACGTGTATGGGCTGGAAGCAGACATCAGGGCACCAACCAGCCGGACAGAAGCTGTCAGGAGGCAATTCATTCCCAACATTCCAAAAAGAAGGTCCCTACCAAGTGACTTAAACAAAAACACTGCCGTTGTTATGTGTTGTTCCCAGTGCCCCAGGAAATGAAAGGAGTGTCCATTTCCCAGAAGCCCACGGGGCACAGGAGCCTGGGGGAGGCTGCGCTCACGGAGAGCAGAGAAGGGGATTCAGGGGAAACGGGGTTGCCCAGGAGGAGCTCACTAGCTAGTGTGTGTGCATGTGCGTGTGTGTGCGCGTGTGCATATGTGCGCATGTGTGTGCATGCATGTGTGTGTGCATGTGCGCATGTGTGTGCGTGTGCGCGTGCATGTGTGTGTGCGCGCGTGTGCATATGTGCGCATGTGTGTGCGCGTGCATGTGTGCGTGTGTGTGTGTGTGTGTGGGTGGGGGGGGCAAGGATAAACCTCAGGGCTCTGAGCTCCTCAGGGAGGGCCCAGCTCTGAGCCTGGCATGCGGCCCAGCCTCAGGTGTAAGGTGAGCACTGAGAAGGGGCGGGGAGTTAGCCAACGCCTCCCAAGGGCACCCACGGGAGGGCGGGGTTTCTTGCAACCGAACTCTGTTCCAGAGAATCTGGATGAACAACTATTCTCATTCCTCGGCCCCCCGAGCATTTACTGGTCACCGACAACTGTCCCCTCTGGGCCGCACGTCACCGACATCAAGGAGAACACTGCCCTGCCCCGCGGGGTGACTGTCCACGCTGTGGCTGTGGCTGGGGCTGCGGCTGTGGCGCTCTTTTTTTGCATGTGGGTCCCTGTCAGTATCAGAGCAGTGCGGCGGCCCGGGGAGGGGCCGACCAGGAGACCGACCCTCTCGCACACCCACCTTTGGTAGGTCCTTTCCTGCTGAGCACGGCCTGCTGCTCCTCCGTGATGTTCAGCCGCCGCACCACGTCGGCCAGGGCCGACTTCAGCAGCTGGATGTCGTCCTCTTGCATCTGGACCCGCTGCTCCAGGGAGGCGATGCGGTCCGTCACCTCCATGCTACTTGCCGCGGAGGCGCTGTCATCTGAACCCAAGGAAAGGAGCAAGTGAGTCTCACGTGCACCCCAGGGAAGCCAGCCCGGCACACACGCCCAGCCCAGCCGTCGCTGCAACAGAGTAATTAAACCCAAAGGCGGCGGCCTCCCTGCAGAATCACCTGGAGCCTTTAAACAAAAGGCTGCACTTCCTTCTACTAGTCTCCCTCCACCTTGGGAGTGCTCCTCATTGTTTATTTATTTATTATTTTTAATCCTCACCTGAGGATATGTTTTCATTGATTTTTGGAGAGATAGGAAAGGAGAAACATCGATGTGAGGGAGAAACATGGGTTAGCTCCCATATGTGCCCCAACCAGGAATCGAACCTGCAACCTTTTGGTGTACGGGATGATGCTCCCACCACCTGAGCAACCCAGCCAGGGTAGGGCTTCTCATGTTTTAGACTGTGTTGTAACTGCTACTGTATTTTCTAGATGCAGGCCGCCTTATCTCTTCCATGATATCAGAGGACCTCGGAGGTAGCGGGGTATGGGAACCTGTCTACTTCAACTTCCCACACATGGCCCAATCCACGCACGGTCTCCCAGCTTTGGCCCCAACAATGCACAGGTAAGTCAGATAGTCACGAGGCCACACCACCCATCGGGCAAGACCTTTAGGGACTGGCTACGCTGACCAAGCAGTATGAGGGGTCATCTGTGCGGCGTGCGTACCCGTAGGACCATGGTAACCACATTTTCTTGTACGGAATCGCTGGTCCCCATTCCTCCTCCAGGGGCACCAGGCCCTGCGTGATCTTCCCGCCTCCCTGACCCCGTTTATGTCGGTCTCCCCTTGGGCACCACGCTGTGGCCGTGCTGACCTCCCTCCCGCCTGCGGGCTTCTGTATCTGCTGCTGCCTTTGCCTGAAACATTTCTCAACCAGCTTTTCCCATAATCAAAGTCCTCGATCTTTGTGTCTCCACTCAAGTGGGAGCCCTTCAGAGAACCTTTTTAACAGCCTTACCTACGCTGCCACTTGGCAATACGTCAACCTTATCTCTTGCTTCAGAGCGTCACTGCAAACTCTGACTGCTCCTGTGCCTACTCACTGTCTCCGTCTCCGAGCTAAAATGTGCACATCAGAGTCGCTCTGCTTCCAGGTACAACAGACCCTGCTGGACAGCACCCGCTGCAGAAAGCAAGTATGAAGCCTGGAAACACACACAACAGCTTCCTGAAGGTTCTAGAAGCGGGCCCCGCAGCACAGACACTCTGATGGGGGTTTACATGCGCTTGGCGGAGGCAGATGGACAACGACGCAAGTAAATTCCCTCATCTGTGGCGTTCAGCCAGAGCCAGGTGCACGTATGCATGGAGCCACTATAACGCGAGTGTTCACTTCTCTAGAGTCAGTGCCTAGATTGCGAGGTCACATGGTAATAAGTATACGTTTAACTTTATAAGAAACTGCAAAACTGTTTTCCAGGGAGGCCATACCATTATGTGTGCCCACCAGCCATGTAGCAGAGCTTCCTTTGCCCTATATTCTCACTGCCTGTGGTTTTGTCAGTATTTTATATTCTAACCATTCCCACAGGTGTGTAGTGAAATCTCACTGTGGGTTTCATTTGCATCTTCCTAATGGCTATTGACATTGAACATATTTTCCGAGGCCTGTTTGTTCTCCGTCTCAGACTTGGTGCTCGTGAGAACGTAGCCAAACGCCTCTTCCTTCTTAAAGTGATGTCATGGGTCCAGGTAGCACCTACATCACCTCTGGTTCCACAGGCAGAAAGAGGACCTTGAGGCTCTGCCCTTACTCTGGATCTTCAGGTGGCTCCTGTGGCTACGACTTTTAAGTTGAATTACCGTCTTACGGTAAAAAGTGGCACAAAAAGATCTCCCAGTAACCTGGCTGTTTCATTGTATTCAAAGGGCGAGGGAAGTGCACTCTGTTCTCCATTCCCAGGACTGTCTCGTTACCTAGAGATGAACACAGCTCTTGGCCCTGCAGGTCTGGTGCTGTGAAGACCTGCGGCTGCCTGAGTGAGTCCCGGAAGTCCAAGGGGCTATCAGTTTTAAAAGGTTCACTTAGAATCTGCCCTTCACCTTGAGATGTTCCTACTTCCTTCTCTCTTCACTTGAAACAAGAACAGCAGCCCTTTATTCCCACTGTGCCTGACGCTTCGCCTCTCGGTGTCTCTCCAGGCCACACAGCATCCTCCCATCGCCCGGTGACACTGGAGAAGCGTCCACCTCATCTCGACTCACGCAGCAGAAAGCGACAGGCTGGGGACCAGTGGAAGGCTCGGCTCTTCCCACTGTATCGCGTGGTCCACCCAATGACGGGCATTCATTCCAGTGGGACTTGCATGGTACTAAGTAAAATATGCATCATTTTACCTTTTCCAAAATATCAGACAAATTTTTTTTGGGGGGGGGGAATCTTATTACAGGGGTTTAGTATTTTAGAACCAGTCAGGTGAGCAGGGAGGAATGACAGCCTTTCACTCAGCAACCTGCAGGTAGACTTCTCATGATAGCTGCTTTCCATGGTGGCACTGTTAGCGGAAAAGCTGTGTTCCACTGTCACACCTGGACCATCCTGAAACAGAGAGGCCGTGTGGGGAGGCCCTACCTCCTCTGCTGGGTCAGGGTCTGGACCGGCCCCTCGGATGTGCAGCTCTGAGCCCCTGCCCTGGCTGGGGGGCTGCCGCTGCCTCTCTCCTAAGATTCCTTGTTCTCCCCTGATCGTGTGGGTCAGTCAGGAACCCCGAGCTTTGTTCGTCCCTGGGCTGGACCTGCCACGTGAGCGTCAGCCCTGAGATTCATCACAGAAAATCACAAGAACGGACCCTACCCAGCGGTCCACCTGTCTTGACGGCTACCGTTCATGCGCCTGACTGTCAAGGGATCCTGCAACAGCCCTCGGCTGGAGTGGATTCGGCCTCTGCCTGCTGATAACAGGAACTTCAGCAGAGCCTCTTGAACCTGTGTGTGTGTGTGTGGAGGGGGGGGGGGGGAGTGGTAAGATCTTTTCTGAGTCTTCGGTTGTAAAACTGGAGACCAGGAGAAACACATACATCGCCTTGAGGAGCAACACGTGACTATGCTGAATTCAGATGACATGATGTGGTTTAAAGATAACACATTTTTTGTTCAATTCAATAAAATGTTATTGAGCATCCTTCTGGGCCAGACCTTGTGCCGGCAATACAGTGACCATGCAACCTTCTAAACTGTAGGGCGCTCAGTCTGCCAGGGAGAGACTGGCCCACAGATAACCAGCCCAGAAACAGAGGACCCAATGAGAGCGACCGCACAGCCCCCACCGGCCCGACCACCAGCTCGGCAAGAAGGCCGGCTCCAAATATAACACGAGGGCCAGAGAAACCCAGACCAGAACACAGGTGCGGGAGGAAGAGCAGGATTTCAGGTGAGCTTCTGAGTTTCAATGAATGAAGCAAGAATAAGAACAATCACAGAAAGAACAGCCTGGACATTCTCGAGTTGAGTATGTAGGAAACAATGACTTTATTTTGAAATATACTCCCTTTTCATTTTTGCCTGACAAAGACCTCCCAAGGAAGCCTGGGAGCCTCCAAAGTCTTTGGAGTGTCCTTTTAATACCACGCGCATACATGTGCATACACACAAATGCACACACACCACACACATGAGCACATGCACACACACGCACTCACATACACGTATGCACACACGTACACACACACCTCTACCTCTGCAGAAGTTATCTTGCTTCTTGTTTCTGTGAGAAACTACAAGACCCAGGTACTTCAAGGCTGTTCAACCCTTTTCCCCGCGGTCTTAAAGCAAACACGGGATCCTGCCTGCAGTTGAGCAGAAAAGCGGCCCCCAGTGACGTGGACACAACATGCTTTACAACGTGGCCTCTGCGCTGGGCCCAGTGGCACCGGGAGCACAGGCAGGAAGGGCGCATCCAGCGTCTGGGATAGCTGGGATGACAGGAAAAAGACTACAGCCTTTCAGCAGCACTCCTAGCAAGTCCGGCAGGTTGCCAAGTCCTAACCATAGAAGGAAAGATGAAAATTATGGAGGTGGGGGAGGGGCGAGCAGTCAAAATAATGCGCGTGAGCGTAGGACTTGGAAGAGATCTGGCGCTGTGGTCCCAATTCTATTTTACAGGGAGACCAACGATCGCAACATTCGCCCGTTACATCTCTAGATAAGATGTCATCCATGGGCTCCTAAACTGACTTAACAGAAAGTCACCTAAAAAGGTAGCTTTAAGAAGAGGTTATTTGCTACATCGTTTCAAAACCTCTCAGCAGGAAGAACATGAGCCTTGGCTGGTGCGGCTCAGCTGGCTGGAGCATCGGCCTGTGCACCGAAGACTCTTGGATTCCACTCCCAGGCAGGGCACACACCTGGGTTCCCCAGAGGCAATGGATTGATGTTTTGTTCTCACATTGATGTTTCTCTCTCTCTATCACTTCCTTTCTCTCTCTCTCTCTCTCTCAAATCAGTAAAAATATATCCTCAGGTACGGATTTTGAAAAAATAATAAAATAAAAGCTATTATTATATTAGATTTTTCTATTAATTTCCATTAGTATAAAATGTTTCTGTTTGAAGTACTATACAGTCACATTATCATAGCACTGACCGTCTTCTAGACCAGTGGTCGCCAACGGGTGGTCCATGGACCACTGGTGGTCCATGAGGTCTGAAAGGTTGGCGACCGCTGTTCTAGACTGAACAGTTCGGATTAGTTTCAGACAATATCCCCTCGCATGAAAGTTTGTCCTTTGATAGTTGAGATGAAAACTCTTGCCCGGCTGGTGTGGCTCAGTGGTTGAGCATCAACCCATGAACCAGGAGGTCACGGTTCAATTCCAGGTCAGGGCACATGCCCAGGTTATGGGCTTGATCCTCAGTAGGGGGTGTGCAGGAGGCAGCTGATCAATGATTCTCTCTTATCATTGATGTTTCTATCTCTCTCTCCCTCTCCTTTTCTCTCTTTGAAACCTGAAATCAATAAAAGACATACTTAAAAAAATCA